CATCTTTTAAACGTAATTTTTCCTCATTTTCTTTATCCATTGTTATCTAAAAATTCAACAATATATATATAATTATGAAAAAGAAAATTTTTCTTTCTTCATATCCATACCTTATATGTATGAAATGAATTTTTAACATAATCTATTTCACTTTGTATGTGTCTTTCTCTTGCATCCGCTTTATCTTGTTCTTTAATTATTTCTTTAGCATGTTTAGAACGTAAATCTTCCAGTACATTTTCATGTTCAATTAACATCTGATTAATAATATTATTGTATTTGTCATTTTGACTACGAAATTGATTGATAAGATTTTCTCCAGCCTATAAATAGAACAAAAAAAACCTGATTATCAATTTATAATGTCAATTTTAATATTACTTTTTGACGTGTTTGTTTATGATTTAGACGTTCTTCTTCAAATAATAACGTTAAATCATCAATTTGTTCAAGTAACTGATCAATGTGAACTTGAATTGGTGATGGTAATAATGAATGTCTAAAATAAAGTTAGATTTTAGTTATAGTATCAAAGAAAAATATTTGAAACATATTTATAGCTAAATATTCTTAAAATACATACTGTATACTATCATCGAATGATGTTTCTTCTTTCATATTAAAAAAATCATTGGATATAACAGCGTCTACATTCTGTTTATTTCGTAATAATTGAAAACCTTGCTGACTATAAACAGATTGCTTGTCACCCTAAAGTAAAAAATGATCTTAAATATAAATTTAAGACAATTATCAATAGAGTTAGTTCTTTACATCAAATATTCGTTGCCAAGGTTTTGCTTTTTGCAATCGAATTTGTAAGGGAGATGGACTACGCATAGAACAGGCACTAAATGAGCGATTTTGAGGAAACCTAAAATAAAAATTTATATCCAAATATAGTATAATATCACATTAAATAAACTTACGATGCTCCATATTTTGGTTTGATGGCTTGTGTCTGATGATAAATGAGCGCACTCGTTCTAAAATAAATAATAAAAAACCAAAAAATTGACGGTAACAGAAAGTTAAATTCATTACCTTGGACGATTCATTTTTTATCTATTGCAAGTAAATCGTCATTTTACACATCTTGTCTATTAAATTTTTAAAAATAAATTCATCTGCAATAGAACTACGTTGTGATATCACGTGCTACAATATTTTTAGGAGGAAAAAAATATTCGCGTTTAAAGAATTTAACTATGTACGTGTCTCTGTTAAACAAGAGAACGAAAGGCAATATATAATATGTTTGGCCAATCTGAGAGATTGTAACAAAAAAGATAACAGATCTTTATTCTTTGCTTACCAAGCTGTCCACTCACACGAGTAGACAGCTTCTGTCTCACATTTTGAGTTTTGTGCTTTCTAAAAATACGTTCGTCAAAGTGTCACTCGTTTGGGAACTTTTACAATTTTCACTTGTAAGAAACAAGTTTTTTCAGATTTTCTCAGAACTAGATTTTAAACCAATTAAAAGTAGGCATGCAACGGTTATTTTATCGGGGCTCTTGAGGGGCAGTAGTTTTAAAAATCGGAGAAACCATTTAAAATGTTTTGGAGTCGACAGTTTTATGCACAAATGTTTGCTCTACATTGCAGACTTTCTCACAATGGTTGGTCGATGAGATATAAAGTTATTAGCTGAAAAACTAAGCGGTTATTAACCGTCGGTTAATAATCGATCCTGTTTTAGAGAAAAAAATTCATATATCATTGACCAACCATTGTGAGAAAGTCTACAATGTAGAGCAAACATTTGTGCATAAAACTACTGACTCGAAAAATTTTTAAAAAGTTTCTGCCTTCGAGCCCCGTTAAAATAATCGTTCATTGCCTAATTAAAAGTGGATGGTTATCCACGACATATTAATTTTGTACGGAATTTTGATGCGAAACGTTTTGCGCTGACTGCAAATTATTACATTAAATTAATTTCTTTCACAGATAGAACAAAAAACAATGTACATAAGAAATTTTGAACAATTTTCATGGAAAAAAGTTGAAACAGAACTAGACGAAATCTTTTTTGCAAAATGTTTCTTAGCAGCTGTAACGGAAAAAAACCGGTTTCAGCGATAAAAAGAAAATTTATATATTTTTGGGAAAAGGAACTCCATATCTTAAGCTGGTGCTCTTACTGTTTTTTAACAATAAACATCAGTTTTTATATCCTCTGCGTTTCCGAAGACGTATCCTGCGAACATCAGAAGATCCGAGGCATGGCAATTGGAAGCCTACACGTGTTAATAAAAGGCAATACGAACTCAACAGTTGACCAAACTCTAGGATCGGGTAGAATTCAGCGATGTACCCAGTACCAGGCCAATGATGGGCCATGGCTCATCCCTTAGAAATTTCGTTTCCTTTAATTGAAAGTAGAAGAGAATATTTTGTTTGAAAACGAAATAAAACTACTACACAAGAACTTTTTTCTTTAGCCAAAAAAAGGCTTGGCCCACCCCTTACTGGAATCCTGGGTACGTCACTTGTGGAGGTCTCTATTGTTCTGGGGGCCGTATCACAAAAAAAATAAGTCTGACTTAAGTCTTTGGACTTAAGCTTTATCGTATTACAAAAAAACTTAAGTCAAAGGGTGACTTAAGTCATGGGAAATGTAGTCTTAAAGTTAAGACTAAAAACTTAAGTCGGACTTACGTCATTAACGCATTTTTCGAATAGCCCAAGCATTTAATGGTACGCTTCGACGAAAACGACATTCTAAGAATTAGAGAATAAATATTTCTTTATTTTGCGGATTTTTGTCCCAAGTTTGTCACTGTTGTCAACGACTTTTAAAAAGTAAACAAATCGCCAATTTAAGTCTTTTCGTGATACGGTCTAAGCCCTCCGGGCTTAAGTTTTTTCATGATACGAGTCCCTGAAATAACATTGCTGAAAGTGGATAAATATCAACTGAAAATTTCATTATTGTCAAATTTCAACCAAAAGAATAATGTAGCATTGAAATTATTAACTATATTTAAATCTGCCGTAAAAAAATTCAATCCAAATCTATCCTAGAATCGGTTCTGACTTTCACGAACTTTCATTATAATCTAAAATGGAATATTAATCATAGAGAGAACAATAAGAGGCCCGATATAACTATTTTTCTCAAAAACTGATACAAATCTGCAAGTTTATATCGTGAGACAAAAGTTGTCAGGATATTTTTCTATAGAAGACTATACAACAAACAATTTTGAAGAAAAAAAGATCTTTAACCTAATGTTAATATCAAAGTTAATAGCTTTGACAAAAATTATTTCCATAGCAAAGTTTATCGTCAATGTCAAACATTAGGCAAGGCGGACAAGAAAATTGTACAATCATCAGAAAAAAACATACTCATTGTGCTACTCACCAACGTTATAATAAGAAATAGCTATTTCGGTAAGTCATCGAGTGTAACCTAATCAAAAACTGTCTCCGAACCTTCCTACTCAATTTCTCGTTGAAAACTAGTGGCGACCGTAGCGAGGATGGTCGTTTTATTCACGAATGACAACGAGTGGTAAAAATGGGTCAGTCTTTTGTCTGATGTCGTTTCTGTTATTAGCTGAATATCATTAAAGATAAACATAGATTGGTTTCTCTGTTGTGCTGTGCACTTTTCACAAGTAGAATGTAGACTGAGGACAAAAAATTATTCACACAGCAGTGATTTTATAAAAACCACGTTTCAACATTTTTTTTGTCACTCTGCTCATATGTTTCATGACTGATGATTTCACACAGATTTTGATTCTTTTTATAGAGATACACTATTTCCGGAATTGAAAATTTTGACTGAAGTTGTATAAATACGAAAAATATTTTCCGTTTAATTCACAAAAGTAGCTAGTTATTCACACGTATTGCGTCAATACTAATAACAGATGTTCGATGTTGACAATGCGAAGAAGTTAAAACAGCGATGTCTGTTCCCACCTAAATATTTGAGGCCTTTTGTACCATCTCAGAGGTTTGAGCCTTCAGTGTACCACTTGGAAAAAGAATTTTTATAACAAAAAAGCGTCCTGTCTACTTTTGCTTGAGCTATTGTGCCGCAAACGTCCCACAGAATAGCCGCCCCAGGGGGTCGTATTACGAAAAAACGTAGTCTAACTTAGGTCAAAGTTTGGGCTTAAATCTGTTACTAACTTAAGTCTTTGAACTTAAGTTTCACTGTATTACAAAAAAACTGAAGTCATGGGAAATGTAATCTTAGTTAAGATCAAAAAAGTCCTTAACGTATTTTTCGAATAGCTTAGACATTTAACGAAACAAAATAATGAAATATTTATTTTCTAAACCTTCTTTAAAAGTTTTGTCGAATCATATCGTTAAATGTCTGAGCTATTCGAAAAATGCGTTAATAACTTAAGTTTTCGATCTTAACTTTAAGACCACATTTCCCATGACTTAAGTTTTTTTATAATACGGTAAAACTTAAGTCTAACTTTCGACTTTTTGTAATACGACGCCCAGGGTTATGAACTATAGCTTACTATAAGACGAAACTCTTTTTATTCAGGAAAGGTTTGACTGAGAATATCTAGGCAAGACAACATTTTGCTTGCAAAAAGTTATATCATTGTACTGCGCCTCTTTTTTATAAACGCTTTTGTGTTTGTAGCCAGAGCGAAGTATGTTTACTTTATTAATGTAACTCAGAATCTATTCAGAGCTTGAGTATATTATATTCAGTATATGAGAGGATAGGGTGGAAGCAATAATTATTTGTCCTAATTTTCAATTTTTCAGGTATTTCTCGCAGGATTTTCAATTTCAGCTATATTCAGATCTGAGGATCGTATTACAAAAAAATTTAAATCACTGGCTTAAGCCATGACTTATGTCACTCTTTCACTTAAATTTTTTTGTAATACGGTTTGAATCTAAGATGAGTACTTAACTGTGTCGTAAGCCTTGGTTTAAGCTTAAGCTTGATTTAAGACTTTTCGTAATACGACTCCCTGCTTTTTGAATACAATAGTGTTGAAAAGAAGTATAAATCCAACACCAATGGATGGTTAAGAGCAGATAAGAAAGAGACGATGATCGGCGTATGCCTGTTTTTTTATTTCCACTATTATTGGAACCAGTTTGCTTAATTTCTACCACTTCAGTATTTCTATTCACGGTCTAGAGGCAATCTATCATGGCATCCTCTTTTAACAATTTAATGTGTCAAACAAAGTCTTCTTCGATTTCTATTGATTTATCTTCCTACGATATGCCTTGTTTAATCCCTTTGTCTTTTTTGTATATCGTTTGACATTGTTTTTGTAATCGTATACAATAATAATAATCGAGTTCATTTAATCAAAAACTTTTAACTATAACTATAGTATATTATTCTGTTACATTCTTCTTTTTAATATATTCGTGACACTTATTTTATTTGATGCTTTAGGGATAGTTATAATTGAGATGTTGTTAAAACATATTCAATGGTCTATGACTTTCTTTTTTGGCATGCAATGTTCGCTCTCTTATTCATTGTTCAAATAAAAAATAAAAATTGATTACTTTGCTTTCTCTAAATAATTATAGAATACATGGTATAACATGTCTGTCCTATGGACAAATCATACGTTTATGTGCAGATGTAATCAGTTAATCTTATTTCTTCTTTTTTTTTTCTATTTCTTCGTTTAGTTTTCATGTAAGAGAGGGAGAGTGGTATATGTCAGAGGCAATGGCAACGGCTATGTAGTAATATTTGTAATCAGAAGGTCAAGTAATTCAATTGAATAGGTGTTGTGTTTGTGTAAATTTTAAAAAAAACATGTAAAAAATGGATATATGTATATATATGTATATGCGTGGTGACACATAAAAATGAAGAAGAACAAGAGCAAGAGAGAGAGAGAGAAAGGTTGAAGTCGAGCTATGATGTGATAGGCGTTATAACACTTTTTTTTTCAAGCGTTAGATAGACATCAAACAAACCATTAATCGTTTCAACAGATATTTTACCTTTTTTTCCTCTTTTCCAGATGCGATAAAAAAAAAACCGAGATCAGTTTTGTTAAAATAATCTTTTAACAGAAATGGCTACATCAACAAATCGTGGAGGAACGTCGAAAGGTACAAAAACAAAACAATTGAACAGGAGAACTTTCTATTATTTTTTGTTTCTTCACTTTAGAACATATTGTTCTGATTCCATTACATAAAACTTCAACAGAAAATATTGTATCATTGGAAAGACGTCAAATTTATGATATTAATGATCCAAATATTTTACATAGGGGTAGTGGTCCCAATTCAGATTTTATCGTTTATAAAAATTCACAAGCAGGTAATAATTCATATTTGTCATTTTCATTTTTAATTAAGTTTCTTTAATATCTCGATTTTAGCTCAAAATGAATCAGAATCTGTACATTTTTCTTCTCGTTTCAATGTGTATATAACAGATAAACAAACTCAAGAATTACATCAAGAAAGTCGTCATATTCGTTTATGGTTTTATGATGTTATTAGAAATCAATGTTTATATGATGCACATGAATTAATTCGATCATTACTTAAATCAGATGAATTTCCAAGAGGTAAATTATTTCTACCATTTTAAATATACTGTCTAATATTTCTCCTATTTTAATTTAGATTATTTTTCATTTATAAAACGTTTAATGGAATTGATGCGTAAATATCCAAATATAAGAAAAATTGAATTAGAAATTATAACTCTTGAGAATAGTTTAGAACCGGGAAATCCAAGTATGTTTTATTATAATAACTATTTTAAATTACACATTTTTTTTCTATATTCTAAAATGAAGATTTTGTTGAACAGTTCATAAATTGCATATTATATTTTTTGCTTACAACTCTAGCTTATTTTATATTTTCAGTCGAGCGCTATGTTTCATCGTTAATGCTTAACGATACAGAATATCTTTCTGAAAGTAAACTTTAAACTATGTCGTAGATCGGGACAGTTATGCATGTGTGAATGTTTGTTTTTAATTTACTAATTCAATAACAAAATTTTTATTTGTAGTGTAGATTTTTCAGAGTTGACAAATGTTTCGGTTGCCGATTTCAAATTTGCATCTGAATTTTAAGTTCAGTATATTGATCAAAAGTTTAGATGCATTGAGAGTGCTCAAAAAAACAACAACAATTGCATGCTTTATTTAACGTTTATGTCTATCTTTTGTTTATAGAAGAAAAAACAAATCTTTTTTATTTCTATTTAGTGCATCAAAAAGATCCAAAACGTTATGAAGATTTGATTAAAGAAAAACTTTTGGATTTACTTGAACGGGCATTTCCAAATACAATGCAAGTCAACGATTTAGCAAAGTTCGTATTGACTATGTTTTGTCAACTAATCCAATGTTAATTTTCATCTCTTTTAGATATGTTGAGTGTGATGCTCAAACAGTATTTCAATTTTTAGTTGAATTGGAAAAAAAAAATTTAGTAAAACATTTAGTAAGTATCTTAGTCTAGCGGCACAATTGTTTTACATGACAAATAGAATCCTAGAAAATTAGATAGTTTTGAGATCGTTTGACGAATTTTAATATTTGTTACTTACATTTTTTTTATTTTTGTTTAAAGGATGAAGATGGTCAATTATGGACGCGTGTTATAATAACAGCTTCAGAAGAAGACACTCATAGTAAGTTAAAAATACGTCTAATTTAATGTTCATCTAATACTTGACTTTTTTACGTATTCAGAAGTGATATTATACAAATCAGTGTTAGAAGTTTCGAGTGTATTTCAACCAACTATTGCTATCATAACAGTGAATTATTTTGAAAAATTAGCGGTTGATTCAATGATTGAAAATAAAGTAACATTTGTTCGACATAAAGCAGGTAAAAAAAAACATATTCTTTGTTCTAGAATAATTTAATATTTATGTTTTTTAAAACTTTATTCAGGAGAATCAAATGTGTATACAATTGGAACAATTGGTCCTCATCATGTTGTTTCAACAAAATTACCCCTGCTTGGAAGAAGTCGTACAGCACAAATATCAACTGGAAGTACTACAACTCGTTTACTCGGTTAGTAAATATTACAAGAAGTATCAAAGATAGGAGTACAATATCGGATGCACCAGATATAATGGCTGCTTTTTTGTTTTCTGTTCTCCTTCATACAGTCTCAACCTTTTCGGAATTTTTTTTAACCAAAAGATGCGTCAGTTAGAAATACTCTACAGAATCATATCCAAACTTTAATTTCAGAAGTTCAATCAAGAAAACTACGTAAATTAGACAAAAGACGAAAAAAGAAAACGTTCTAAACTCAAAAACTTCTTGTGTTAACGATTTGAAAGTAAGAAAAAGTGAATTAGCTAGTTTGTAGTCCAGACTTCGCTCTATCTTTCAGCTACACTTCAAATGTTTTCACATCAAAACTCATGAAAAAAATAATAATTTTTCCGTCGATTGTCATGTATTTTTTCATTCATTTTTTAAATCCTGCGTATGGTAGTGCTTTCAGTATAAGTCCCATAACTCTATCAAAACAAAAGATTTTTTGATCGGATTTGTTTTTTTCTATCAGAAATGATTGCTGCTCTATGTAACTGCAAAATCAAAACTTTGATCATGTTTTCCGTTTCTTGCTTGAGCACATTGTTGGAAACGAGAGGTTGTCAATTTTCGACATATGTTTGAGCCTTGGTTCTCGAGCATACCGTCTGCTTTAAAAAGATTTTTTACAGACCACGAGAAAGCGTGCATTCGAAAGTATAAAACAAACTGAGTTCTCACTTTTCCTACACTTTTTTACCGAAATAATAGTAGAAAAAAAGTCGTAAAAAAATATCAAATTTGCAAAGTTTTCAATTCTTTTCGTCTTTCATCTAATTTGCGTAGTTTTCTTGATTGAACTTCTGAAATTAAAGTTTGGATATGATTCTGTAGAGTATTTCGTGGCGTATCTTTTGGTTAAAAAGAATTCCAAAAAATTTGAGACTATGTGGAGAAGATCAGAAAACAAAAAAACAGACATTATATCTGGACCATTCGATATCTACGAAAATGAATTGTACAGTTGTTTGTTACTCGATCACGTAGCTAAACCTTCGAAAAATTTGTAAAATAAATAAAAAATCTAATGACATACACTGGTATCTTTAGAATTAATATGTGTCTACATTGTTAAAGGATATTCTGATGATTCCTACCAGTTATGACTATTAATAAAGCTATTTTTTTATTCTATTTCAGGAACATTTCAACACATTGCTCATGTGTTTGTAATTGGTTGTGCAGGAGGTGTACCTCATTATACGGATTATACGAAACATGTGAGACGAGGTGATATTGTTGTTGGTTATCCTAATCAAGAAGAATATGTTTATGGTACGAATACATACAGAAGAGAGTAAACAAAGAAAGAAAGAAGAATTTGCATCAGCATTTCTTTTTGTTTTCAGGAATTTATGAAGTAGAACAATCAAATGAAGGTTTTGAATTTGTTTCAACATGTTTTAAACCAAAAAGTTTTGAATTATACAAAATTATTAATTCAATAAAACAAAGTTATCAACAAACAAAATATTCAAATATTCAATATCCATGGGAAAAATTTCTTTCTGAAGGAATTCAAAATCTCTCATCACACAATATCGACTGTATTCCACCAACTCATAATGATAAATTATATCTTAAAATGGATAGTGGAGATGTAGTAGAAGTTGAACATCCAACAGAACAACAACCTCAACAAGGAAATTCATCAAAACAAAAAAATTATCATTCACCAACGTTAAGATTTGGAATGATAGCTGGTGGAAAAAATGTGGTGAATAATGATTATTTAAAAACTGTATTATCTGATACGTGTAATGTTTTATGTTTCGATTCTGAAATTGATCAAGTTTTAGCTGCCATTCAAGGAAATAGAACAGAATCATTTCTTATTATACGCGGCATATCGGATTATCATGATGGAACATTAAATAAAGATTGGCAATGTTTTGCTGCTTTATGTGCCGCTTCATTTATGAAAACTATTATTTATAAAATACCGGTACCGAAAAAAAATTATCAAAATGAGCAAGATGATGAGATTTTATAAAGAAAAAAACAATTCATATTGTGATGTTTATCTAACAGAAGAGAATTTATCTCATTTTTCCACTCACTAACACAGTTTAACTTTCAAATAGATCCCGCCTTATAAGATGATATTCGTCACACGATTTAACGCTTTACAAGTCTCATTTTTTTAGCTTTCTTTGTTTGTGTGAAATTTCAAATTACTTCTATCACATTCCGATTATTCGATAAACACGTGTGATTTGCTTTTAACGTTGATATAGGATGTGCTAGTTTTTTATATGTATTTTCTGTACATTGTTTTATTTCTATTGATTGATGATAGATGTCTATTTGAATGAGTCTTGTTTCCGATTAATGTCTGTTGTTGTTGTTGTTGTTGTTGTTGGTTTTTTTCAATGTATCTAAATGCTTCTTGCTAGAATTTACACTTTGATTGTAGATGTTTTATTTCTGTCTTTTACATCTGCAACACAACTATTTATTCAATATGCTTTTCTTTTGATGTAAATCGTAATAATAATAATAATAATAATAATAATATAAATAATAATAACAGTGAGGAAAATGTTAAGTTTCTTCTCATCGTTGTTCCGAAGTTACTTTTAGACTATCACGGAAGGAGATAAGAAACTTCTAATCGTTACACAAAGAAAAAGATCACCATTCAAATGGGATTATGCTCAACTATGCTATTGTACTATTTAGAATAGATAATTCAAAAATAGTATTCATTAAGAAAAGGTGAATGAAAGAAGTATCATATACTTGCTCTAATTTTCTAACATGATCACTGCTGTTATTTATGAATTTTGAATGTTGACAATAACATTAGTTTGACAATTTTTATATATTTTGTCCATTTTTTAGATGTTATAAATCAGAAATTGTGCGTCCATGCTATGGGAAAGAAATCTAACCGATGTCCAAATAATGTGAATTTGGACGCTGGTTATGTGGCAATTGATCAATCCTCTTTTTATAATCATATAGGATTACGTGGAAAAAAGTTAGCTTGTTTTCTAATTAGTCTTCTTGTCTTACTGTTTATCAGTCTAGCCAATTTAGGTGTAAGTATGAATAATTTTCTATTTTTCTTAGCTGGTTTTTGTTTTTCAATCATTTTTTGCTATTTTTAGTTATTAATATGGCTTATGCACAAATTAAATTGGTCACTGTCTGGTTCGAAAGCATTTACAGTTAAAAAAAATGAATTTATTATCAATAAACAAACGAATATACCAAAAAGTATCTATGTAACAAAAATTAGAAATATTAAAAATTCATCAGAACTTAAACTACATTCAAATAAACAAGTATATAAATAATTTAAAAATCTAAATGTATGACTCCAATATTTGTTCTTTTGTTTAGATCGATATTTATGGTCAACCACAAGCACTAGTACTGGACAATGATCGCGTATCCATGAATACGGATCATTTTTATGTGAATTATGATCCATTAAATTTTATGGATATTCATTCATATTCATTTAATCGTTCAGTTAGAGTTCACATTGATCAACTTAATTCGCGTCAGGTATATTGTATAGTAAAGAGTCAATCTTTTTAAAAAAATGAATTATTTATTAATTGTTTAGATACAAAGTAGAAAAAAATCTTCACATTCTTCTTCATCTGATCTCGATATAAGTGCCAATGGTCATTTATCAATTAAAAATATCAACGAAATTTATGTTCAAGGACAAAATTTATTATTGTCATCAAAACAGAAGAATAATAAATCAACAATTAAATTTTCAAAATTAATGTCAAATACAAATAAGGTATAGAAATTAAGAAATTCACCTAACTGGTGAATAACCTAAAAAATTAAGATGTTAGTAATAACATGCACTTAACATTAAACTAAAATATTAACAGTTCATCAGATAAATGCTACAACGACCGTGTCGAAACATCGAAACTTGAAGAAGTTGTAGTATCCCAGTGTGACAAACGTAATTACAGTTTGTTATTATTTTTGTTTTGTTCCGATATTCCTTTTTCAATATGTCAAGTAGTCATGTACACTTGACTCAGGAGCATTCTTTTCTTTATAAGTTTTGTCTTATACACTATATGTTAGAATTAGTATGCAGTAGCAACATGGTCTAAGAACCTGTCAGTGAGGAACTATATCCCAATTAGGATATTTCTTTTTTGATATCCCGATTGGGCTATAGTAGCCCAATCGGGGTATCTGCTGTTTTGTACATCTCAATCGGGATATACTATCTTTACAGTAGGACCGTAGTTTAAAACCGCCCAAAACTAGTTAATGTGGTGCTTGTAGGGCAAAGGTGATATAGAACATAACATATCAGCCGCCAGAACTTGAGCGATGAAAACGCTTCAGTATTTTTAAAACTTTAAACTTTTGAAAGCAATTTTAAATTGCTTTTGGATGCGTAATACGCATCCGAAATCTTGTTTTGTAAACAACATTGTTTACTTCGCTGGGCGGACGACGAATTACGGTGGACGAGCATGACTTTAACTGAATATTTCACCGGATGTCGCTGTCTAAGAGAAAATGTCTAGATACTTCGAGAAAGTGTTAAAATAGCTAGTAAAATATCCTGATCGGGATATAGAATATGAACCTCGAGAATTATTTAAAAAAAAAGTTTTTGACCGAAAAAAGACTTGGTCACAAGGAAAAAGAATCTATTGCAATTTTTTACGCTCTTTTCGGCAGTACGGTCAAAACTTTCCGCGAACACCATCATTTTTCGCTAATGAATTTACTTNAATTTTTATCGTGATTCGGAATATGTTTTTTGGCTATATCCTGATCGGGATATATTTTGATTCAAAACGGGATATCAAGCATGAGGCTCTACTGCCTGTTGCTCGAACACTACAACTTCAAGAACCGTCTCAAGTTTTAATGTCTCAAAACGATCGTTATAGCACTTGGCTGATATACACTGCTAACATCTTACGAGGGAAGTACCCCAACTGATAAATCGCTTTTTGAACGAAATCTAGTAGACTATAGGTAGCCAACGATGCTGATTCTGAATATCACCAT